GCACTCCACATCTGCGAAGCGCTTTTCTGGAAGAAAACATAAGCGTTTGAAAATTCCATGCGTTAGCATTACCTTTACCAAGGAAACACACGCACGGTGCTAGAAGCGGTAGATAGTATAGTGGTAAGTGTGCAGTTTGTTAGGGTGATTGATGCAGGTTCGAATCCTCTTACCTTCTAGCACTTTTGCATTTTCATATGAGCGTATTCACTTTCTATAAAATTTCTCCTCAAACATTGTGAAGCGTAAATTGTTATCAAGCAAAAGTACACCTACTTGAACATACATGATATGCTATTACAAAGTGTGTGAAGCATAGATGCTCCTCGCAATGAGCACAGCGAATGGAAATTACTTCATTGCAGCCATTACTTTCGAGTCTACTATCAAACTGGGAGAAAAACAAAACTGACTGGGAGTTTCAAATGAGTCAGGAGGTTCTTCTATATAGCCAGCCGCATACCATGAATAAGAGAGGAAATTTTTAAAACGCGGAGAGTAAAAATGAGAATAGATGAGCAAAAGAATTGAGGATGGACTCTCTATGGTGTAGTGGAAAATTAACCTCGTGGGCATGTACATATGAAATGCTATAGGAAGTGAAACGTTCACATTTCAAAATTTTACTTAAAATCATCAATTAAGATGCGTCATTCATTTATGAGTAACATTCGTTGGCGCTCACTCCCTTCACGAAGCATTGGTTAGCTTTGGTAGAGGTGGTGCTAACGCGTGGTTTAAACGCTCATAACTTCTTCGAAGAACGCTTCGCAGATATGGAAGGCAGATTTGGAATCAGCGTCCGGAACTGCATTTACCAGTATACATCGCTTCTTGAATCGTCACTTCGACTAAGTATCCTTCCCTTTGAGATTGACATCTCGCTTACACTAGCTGCACTAGATCTTACTACAGAAACTGGTATTTGCGCTGTTTCTATCAGAGCATGCGGTTAGAGAATGCCGAAGTAGATACATATTTTCAAACAGTCGGGCTACTAGAAGAATAACTTGTAGTCGGACCTGTACTCCTAATTTCCAATCCCAGCTGAAATGACCAAAGATGGGGAAACGATATGGGTAATGCGCTTTGTTCTCATAAACGCCAATACTCTTAGGTACACCGAAAACTGGGTAGGACCTTATATAGCTTAGAAAAACATGTAAAAAACGTCTAAAACATAGTAAATGCCTAATCAAAATAGTTACAACCAACCACCAAGTAGTGTGCAAGTAATATATGAAAAAATGAACAAGTAGATAAGTTACAACTTGTGCAAAGCTAATGTTGGGCTGAATGAAAATAAATGAAAAACAAAGTTAACATCAAACACAACAAACTAGCAATATGTATCAATTTTTATATGGATCACTTGCATTCCGTCCACCACTCTTTCCGCCGGCTTTTTGCCAAGATAAATATTTTTTGAGGAATGTTGCAGCTGTCTGCGAAGTAACGTAGTGCCTTACGCTAGGAATTTGTAGTTAGTTTGAAGAGTGAGATGTAGGAAAATACGTTTTCCTATGGGGTCTTTAATTCTGAACCAAACAATTATGTTTCTGGACGTGTCTCCTGCCAATAATTCTATTCAACAA